AGCTCTGTGACGTCATGAAATCTGCCACATTATTTCCCACACACCAATGAAATCCATATTTTCATACCTCTCCATCCATTTTCTCAAAGCCTCATTTAATATGGATGCTGCTTGTGAAGCTCTAACAAATGTAGAGGAGTGAAGAAAACTACATGGAGCACTTCAGAAAATGCCATTACTGCAATAAAACCAAACATAGGGTGTATTTTTGTATCACACACACACACACACACACACACACACACACACACACACACACACACACACACACACACACACACACACACACACACAGTGGTACATTGACGTGGAAGAACATCATCCATCCATTTTCTGAATCACTGCATCCTCACCAGGGTCATCATGGGGAGCTGGTTTCTGTCCCCAGAGGCGGGGGACACCCTGGACAGGTCGGCAGTCCCTCACTGGGACACGCAGAGACAAACACACACTCACAGCTAGGGACAACATTCTCCAGTTAAGCTAGCATGCATGTTTATGGTCTGGATGAGGGAGCATTAGGATTTTATGTTTTATTCTTTAGATTTTACCCTCTGGACAAGCAGCAGCTCTGCGGAACTACCATGTGTAAATGATTACAACACTATGCATTTACCCAGCAGTCTGAGCCGTCCCAGGGACAGTCCTGTACATTTACCTGCTGTTAGCCTTCATCTGTTGTTGTTCTATGTGACTGAATCTGGGTCACTGACTCCAGTGGACACTGCTCGTTATAGTTCTCACAAGGACTGATGCAAATCAGTAACAATAGCACTGTAGCACCACTAATGTTCAGAGTGTTGGATAAGAGGAGTTTTCTCATAGAGTTTAAAGTTCTTTAGTTCCCCTGTATTATATCTGAGTCACACCTGTGAGTCCTGGACCCAGGTAGAGAATACTGAAGGTGTTTGTGGGCTGAACGGAGGACGCAGCCAGACTGCATTTATTTGGTGCTTACATGATTTATCTGCTGTGGCAGTCACCTTTGCAGCTTTTCATATGCAGTAAGAACACCTCTGTCCCCGTCTGCCAAGATTGTACTCTTAGATCTAAGCCACTCTGTCATTGACCCCCCCACCCCCTTTTATAACCTTCGATAGCCAGATTCCAGTGAAGCGAGGGCAGATCTATTGTAGCACAGAATGTGCTAAAGGGTTTCTAGGTCGATGAGCTTGTGCGGCTGAGATGGAAAAGAGGAAGGAGGACATTCAGGGCAAACTGGGCTCCTTTGTCTCCATGGGGACAGCCAAGAATTTCTTCCAGGAACATGAAATTCAAAAATAAAGACGGAGTATTCTTCTAACTCACTCAGCTAAGTGTTCTGTTCCAGAGCCAAAAATAAAACGGGAGGTGTCATTTTATGACAAAACTGTGGCAAAGTGTACTCATCAGCCTCTAGAAGCTACTTACTCAGCTGGTTGCACCTCAGCAACCAGCAGCACCTAATTTTTACTGTAATATTTTCTAAATGATGAATGCAATCATCTTAGCATGCAGTGTCTTGATAAACCCCCAGACCTACTGCAGCAGGTTTTACATGCTCAATACTTATTTTGTGGAAGATCTTCCTCTAAAATGCTGTCACATATTCCCCTCATCAGCACAAGATCAGTAGGCATAGGGCATCAGTTCATTGTCAAAGTTGGGAAAACCCAATAAATGTGAATTATCGTGGCACTTTTTGGTACATAATGTTCTTGTTTTGTGGTTTTGAATTTGTAAACATGATATTTTTTGCCCTTTCTTTAACAGTAACTGTGCATTTCTATGTAAATGTTATGAATAACTATTAACTTACTTTTGTGGAACGCTTTCTGAATGACCTCAGTTGGGAGAAATTGTTTTTGTTCTACAGGACTGATGAGCTAACGGCTAGTCTGAGAATAGCCAAAATGTGTGGCTGCCATCTTAAAATGGATTTATTCTACAAAAATTGACAGCAGTTCATTTCTTCCTCTTATCTAGGATTGGCTCACAGGGGCAACTGATCTTGCCTTCTTAAGTGGACATCTTGTAAGCTTTTAAAGTACTTTCTGTCATGGTAATTTTATAACTTATTTTCTGTTGTTGTTGTGCTGCTCACTTGTGCCTTAAATTTCTCTTTGAGGACAAATACAATTTTCTGAATCTGTATTGGATGTGTAGGAGCTGATCACAGCAATGCGACACTACCACTGATTCTGTTTGTTCTGCATCACTGATGTTTTATCTCCACAAACAACTCAAGCCTGAAGGAGTTCTGCTGAGTGGTGGAGTTGCTAATGCAGTTAGCTTCTACTAATCCAGATGTTCTCTGTTGTTTCCTGGATGCTAAAACAACAGTCTTCCCCGTTTGGAGACAAGATGGGTGAGTCTATGAATGTTAGGTGACAGGGTGAGTTTCTTTGTCTATTTTCTATCAGAAGCTAATGTAGGAGATACACGTAGGAGACTATCTTCAGGTTCAGCCTGCATGGAAAAACTCAGAGTGACTGATCATAATCAGAAACAATCATTAAACAATACTTTGTCAGTGTTCCACACCTTTAAGACAGCAGCGATACACTTTGCTCTGTGTTACTTCACTGCTGTGGCATGGCTAGCTGATTGCTCACCAGTCCTGTAGAATGTAAACCTTGTGTTTCTAATCTAAAAACCCACGTTGGAGTTAATTAATAAAGTTATATTGTGAGTGTTCTGGCAAATTCTGCAAACCCATTTCCAGGATAGGTGGACTTAAACATTTTTAGGGCCCATGAACCAGCTGCGTAAATCAGAATTAACTTGATCATTTATTATTCATCACTCTCATCAGTGAAAAGACCTTCCTTTCTCTCCCTCTCTCTCTCTCTCCAACCTCTTAACTTCTTAATTCACTCGTACCTTGTAGCTGTTATAGCAAAGGACAACCTGTTCTCATTCCCCGGGTGCCAAATACTCATTTGTCTAAGTCATTAGCCTTGTGGAGGAGTGCAATATGTGTCCTTGGTGTTGGCGCCGTCAAGGCAACATCTGAAAATGGAGGCAGCTCTACCTTGACGTTAACTGACAAAGTTTCTGTTACAAGGTTGGTCAACATTCAACATGGTGTGGTCTGTTGGGTCTGTGCGACGTAAATGTCAGGATCAGAGGGTGGGATTGAGGCTCTGAGTCAAAATCCCGATCAGTCGTAAAAGAGAGGGCTTGTCTCCAGACGTGATTAGTACGTTACAGTGCGTATTTCTATGTGAAGTTGATGGTGGATATTTTTTAGGTTTCAAACGGAACTGACTTTTGGAAACAGTTAAATCGTTTTTTTCTTAAACCAGGGACTTCTTTTGGCCTTGACTTGTCTCTTTTTCCCCATTTGTTTAAGCACAAACTGCCCAATCTGCTGTCAAAGGCAAGAAATGGAGAGAAAATGAGTAAAAATACAGTCGGAATTTCAAGAAATACCGTGAAGGAGCTTCAGAGAGCCTGGACAACGGATCACTTAAAAATAATAAGAAAGTCTTGCTCTTTGGCAGAAAAATATAAAGAAAGTGTAAAGGTTGTGCTTAGCACTGCATGTGTAAGCTGCCACAAAGGAATCAGGGCCCATTCTCCCTTGTAGAATCGTTTTAATTAGGCCATATTTGAGGGTTTTGCAACTTCAGCATGGACAACATTTTAAGGTCAAATGTGAAATTTTGTTCTTCAGAATTCTCTGCTAGAGAACAGAATTCATATTTCCATCATTTATAGAAATAAATCCAGGTAGAAGCAGCAAAGCAGCCGCAGACATCACACCACCACCACCATGTCTGACTACTCTAAGTTTTTTTTAACTTTACTACATGAAGGGTATTCAATCTGAAGACTAATTACAACATTTTCTTAAGTTAATTTGTGGTCTGAAGTTAACTTAGAGGAGGTGTGCGTGTGTGTGTGTGTGTGTTAGGTTGTGAGGTGGTGACAGAGACTGGAAACTTGTTTTCTTCCTCTGGCAACTTGTAGGAATCTTCTTTGTGTTTTGGGCTCCACCAGATGCTGTTGGCTACATCATTTGTGGATGTCTCCTCGTTAAAGGACACTTTTCAGCAGGTTCGGTTGTACCTCCACTTATTGTTGGAGGAATCAGAATGATAGCTGGCTGGATCTGGATCGGGAATAATTCATGGCAGCAAACAAACAACCAGCAGGATAAAGCTGCAGGCCACAGTGATGCTGAGGTTGCTCTCCTGTGGCATCATCCACACTGGATCGCTGGTTTCCTTGTTCATCCAACCACAACCTCACCTTTGGACCAAAACAGGTTTCATCATTAGCTGGTGTCGTCACCCGTCCACTCCCTCTCCTCTCACACCACTCGCTCAGCCCCTCTCTGATCCTCACCCGCATTAGTGGTTATGTGGCAGTGTGAGCGTCCTGTCACAGTGTCCTGATTGATCATGCGCCCTGGCTACTTGGCCACTGGGATGTCCCTTTGGCTGACTGGTTAGTGCGCATGACTCTCACCCGGGAGTCTGGGGATCGAATCCCGCCCGGGCCCTCGTTTCTCCACCTTGCTACAGTAAAGTAGATGCTTTAAGCACTTTCCCACCCACCCTCCTGGAAGCTCCTCTGTGGAGCAGCATAAAGGACCGTGTCCCTGGACTCCCCTCCATCTTCACATGATGAGATGTGCCTTAGGCGTGCAGCAATGCAGTGCACTGCCTGTGTCTTTAAGAGGAGAGGGAGTATCATGTGTAACAAGGAGGAAACACGGCACGAGGAGGCAAGTGAGATAGAGTGGGTGTGGGAGTGGAAATTCATCATTGGCAAAATGTTTGCCTCATGTTCTTCTGTTTGCTGCTGAGCTTCATCCCGGCGCCGGCGTGCACGGTCTTCAGCTGCACGCTGAAGAGTACGCCCATTTCCACTTTCTCTCATACGCACACACACGGAGGCTCTTCCACCCAACTTCTCCTCCACACACACACATACAGCTGCACACACACACACACGTGCTCGCAGTCACGCACGCGCAGTGCTGTCAAAAGCACCACTGTTGGACCATAGCCATCTCGGAGAAGGAGGTTCCAGCGGAGGCAAGAGAAAGCCAGATTTAAACAAAGGGAAGGAGGACGGTTGAAGGCGAGGAGCGAATAGGAGAGCGGGGACCGGCACAAGGAAGGAGACACAGCGTTTTGTGAAGAAGAGAAAGCGAGGAAGCGGAGGAGGGAGGAGTAGAGAGGAGAGGAGAAAAAGAGGAGGGGGAACAGGAAACGCGATCACTTTCAGCTGCAGCCGTTCCTGCCGCAGCATGGGCAATGCACCATCCCAAGGCATGTCAACCCTATCTTTATGCATGCTTGTGCAGCATTTTTCTCTCGCTTCAGAGTGTTGTTGCCATTCAAGCCAGCTGGCTGTCCTCCTGTTACACTCTGTGGGAGCTGGGGATGGGGTGGATGGAGGGGGTGGAGAGCAGCATCGCTCGAGGAAAGTGATGCTGAGGTGTCATCAGGTAGATGATAGCTTTAAGGTGTCCGGCAGGAGACCAGGTGATGGAAACACTGGGTGGAGGCTCCATGTGTATGAGCAGCAACACATGGGAGGGGGCTGGTAGAGAGCAAAAGTAGCATCAGTGAAGCAGGTGGAGCTGGTGGGTGTGATCGTGTAAGTGTGTGTGTGTGTGTGTGTGTGTAAGAAAAAGTGAGTAGTGACAGATTTTTGTTTTGTGTGTAGTCAGGAGTGTGATTGTGTCGTGTGTGCAGCAGCTGCTGTAGAGCACACGGAGAACCTTTGGGAATGAAGTCGCTCCGAGGTGCATCTGTGTGGAAAAGGGAAGGATATACAGCAACATGAATAAGATGGATAAAAGAATGCGTATTTAATAAGAAAATAAGGGGAATAGGGTATAGCTTTGAGGGAATTTGATTGGATGGATGAACAAGGGGGTCGACTCCCAAATCCCTTGGGTACCAAATCCCATCTTTTTGTCATTCCGTCATTCATTTCAGTCCACTCGATCTCCCTTTTATAGCCTCTTTGGCAAAACTCAGGCAGGAAAGTTTTGCAGCAATATAAAAACAGACTGAAAATGCAATTCTGATTCCTGAAAAGCAACACGAGAATAAAAGATGGAGGCAAAAGCGTTGAGATCTAGAAGAATCTGTGAGAACAGTCTCACCTTGGGTTTAAAGATACGTCGGATGACTAATAAAAGAAAAAGAAAAGGAAACGGATAAACACTTTTCAAAGAGAGGGAGGAGGGCAACATCACACAGCTCCGGGAAATTCAGCCACTTTCATTTCTCTCTCTTACTTTTCACTCCCTCACCTTTTCTTCCTCCCCTCCTCTTCCTCCCTCACTTGCTTCTCACCGAGGGACAGTCTGGTAGCTGCTGGCTAAAAGGGAAAGAAGACAAGAGGGAGGCAAAATGAAAGACGGGGAAAGAATGAAAGGAGGTTCAAAAGAGCAGAAGATAAAAAAATGGTTTACTCGTAGATGGACCGGTAAGTCCCGGTTCTGACTCAGGCAGCGTGGTTCTGTTTAACGGGGCTGAATGACTAAATTGGAACTTATTGGAGAGAGGAGCTCAACAGTAGAATAGTTAAACAACTTGTTTGCTTAAGGGCTTTATCTGTTTGGTGTTGAATATTTATCAGCTTGGTTGGTCTTTTATTTTTTTTGGACTTGAGTGTTTTTTAAACGACCTTTCTTCTTCCAAATGTGACTCCTGTAGTCTGAGAATCTAGTTTTTATCTTTAAACTCAAGAAAACTTTGTTTAAAGCTTTTATTAAGGCAACGATGAGCCACGAATGTGTGTCTTCTATTCATTTTATGTGTTTAAGCCTTTTCTCCATGTTGTGTCTGTAGTCGGTGTCTGTTTTAGTGGGATTGACAAGGATTAGTCTGAATCTGCGCCCATGAGGCTCTTTTTTCTCTAAAACACGGACAATGGATTTAGCTGCTCGTTCTTTTCCAGAGAAGCGCCTCTGCTTTTGAATAATTTGCTGAAACAAAAGGGCTTGAAATAGTTTTGACCTGCGGTATTCAGTGCTGTCATTACTGTTGTCGGCAATTTAAAGCACTAATTGAACATAACGCCACCAAGGACCAATCTAATTGCATCCAAGCCACCAACAAGGCAGTCATTTGTCAAACTGTGCTTTAGCTTTTCCACGATGGTGAGTAAAGAGTTGTGCATTTTGGTAGTTTAGCTTCTTCCTGTAAATAACAGCAAATGAAGGCATCTATGTAAGCCCATTATAATTTTGTGCCAGGCTCAACCATAAAGATTAGATTAGAACATTTAAAGCTCAGCGTTGGCCTTCCAGAGAGCTGAGGCTTTTCAGAATGTAGTCATTGTGCAGAGAGTAAAGATCCTGTTAGCTTCATCCATCCTTGTTCCACCTAGCATGCTCGGCTGAGGTTTATGTCAGCACGCATGTCTATCTTCCTACTGATCCGCTTTAGTGAGGCAGAGTCAGATTCATACCTTTAAGAGGCCTGCAGCAGCTGAGATGCTGTCAACCTGCATGCTGATGCAATGTTACAGCGTATGAAAGGGGTGAGCTGGCCGAAATGGGGAACATAGTGAGGTGGTAGACGATGTGATGGAGAACTCCTCTTGGATGAATTGGGTGATTTTTACAAAACTGGTTGTCTGCTTTCACTTTGGTGCAGGCGGGTTCTGCAGCACGGTTGGCTGACTGGTCATGAAGCGTGGAGGGAAAAGCCTAGAAATGTTTCAGATTGGTGGTCTGACGTTATTATATGCTACCAGATAGATACAAGCGCTGCGGAGACTGATCCTAGATTTCAATTATAGCCGCCCAGCATGACTAAAGTTTCACATCCTGACAGAAGTCGTTCATGTTTTGAAACTAAAATATAACGTGATGTAGTGCATCTTCTGCAAATTCAGTGAGTATTTGAAACAACAAGCACATTTAAATGAGATGCTCATTAAAGAGTACCTTTTCTAGTGGTGTTTGGACATTTGCCTGAAAGTCTTGTTATCGTGGTTTTTTCTAGCATAAGCATAACCAGTGGCACCCCCAGATCATTTTCACAAGGGTGGCCAGATGGGCCATAGAAAATTTTGGGGTGACACACCAGATTGGTCCGTGTGGTAACTCTAGAAGAGTTTAGCCTGTGCCGATGCACTGCATGCTCCTTTACTATTTTTCATTAAAAAACAATATGTGTCCGACACGCTTACCTCAAACTTGAAGAACAAATTTTTTTCTGAAAAAAAAAAGAAAAATTTTTTTAAACATTCATTCGGAATGTTATTTATACATTTTTGTGTGGAATTTTTAAAAACTGTTTAATTGCTGTCCTCACAAAAACTTTAAAGATTAGAACTTTTGTTTTAAAAATGGTGAGCGGGAGAAACAACTACTTTTTAAAAATCAGATTATTTATTTACTTATTAATTGTATATTTTTACTGTGTTTTACTTTATGTTTGATTAAATAATATGAATTTATAGTTTGTGCTAACATTAACATAATTCATTAAAGAACGTTGGTCTCGTCTGGTGTGGCAACTGGGATGGCCAGCAATTTTCTAGGGGTGGTCCTGGCCATTCCTGGCCACCCCTTGGGGGCACCACTGAGCCTAACATCTAATTTTCAACATATAGCTGCAAAGTCTTCAATAAGCTCATTGCCTCCTTCAGCTGCTTTTCATTTGAAAGAGTTAGCTGGTAACAAGGCTAATGCTAGCGTACTTGATTGTTTGGGTCGTTGCAGATTTTCTCACATTTTTTGTCAATTGCATAAACAAATTTACCAAAATGTAGTTCTCCCAAATCACTTTGTTTGATTATTGTTTTGCTTCAACTTTGTTCTTAAAGGTTACACATTATGAAAAACTCACCTTTTGCATCCTTTTGTGCTCCCATAAGGGTTAGAGTGCTACACTTTGATCGGGATCCCACGGGACCAATGCAAAACTTGCGGGTGCAGGTTGCATTGGCTGGGAGCAGACGGGAAGAAAAAACAGTGGGTACCGATGGAATAGTGCAACTGAGAAAGCTAACGAAATTAAGGCTGCCAGATTTAAAGCTAAATAAAAGGTAAGAAAAGTCCATATATGGAAACAACAGAGGTCACGGTCAGCCAGACTAACTGAGCATTGTAGAAACACTTTTTTTTTAGTTGGATTATGTTTTGGGAGGTGTGAGCAGATGTAGCAAAATTGAAAGAATCAGAATCAAATGGTAAATAAAATCTTAAGCAGGAGCAGGATTCAAAAAGTAGTCCTGTACAGGACCCCAATGTCTCTAGAAACACTGCAAATGGTAAAAACAATGTCCATCCATTTTCTTTGTTTGTTTTGGAAATGATTTGCCTAAAACTCTCTTCAAAAACTTCCTGATTGTGATGTCACAATTGGGCAAATTTGTGTAGTGTAGCTTCTACTAGTTTAAGCCCAGTTTAGCCTCGTGGGAACATTTAGCACACCTAGCTGGGCTCATAGGGAGCTGTATTTATAAAAGTTAAGTGTTAACTAGCTTATGAACGTTAGCTTACGTTCTCCCTGCTGCTGTTCACGATGTAAACAAGTTGCTGACTTTGCCAGAATTCACCCCATTGGATTTATAAGATTATGTGATAAACAGCGTTTCTCATTACAGCTGAGCTGATTCAGAAAAACTACAAACAGTCCAGATCCCTGCCAGTTTTGGTCACTGGCTGCTGGGTCCGACTGCTACTCTCATGCTGCGAGGACATAGATATTTCATAACGGCAGAGCTCGTCATGCATAATGTTCACACACTACATTGGAACAATAATAATATCTAGCACATCCACTATAGTGAAATATAGCATTATCAATACTAAAAAAGATAAACACACTACACGTTTATCATTTCAGGTCTATCACAGTCAGCCCTCGTCTTCCTCATGAACTACATGAACGTTAATTTACCTGATAAACGAGTTTGCTGTAAATCCGAAAATGTTTTGAGGGCTGCTAGTCCGTTTGGTTGATTGCTGGTGTTCATCCCAGTATTCTGTCTCCATAAAAGTTATTTGATATAAAGACAATTTGAGTTTACACCTTTTTGTGTTGCAGTCAACCACCCAACAAGTAGCTATTGCCATTTCTGTGTGAAACAAACCAATTAAAAGCTACATAAGGCTTAGACTAGCTTAATGCACATTTAATGCATGTTAACACTTTCTGTTGATGTCCATCATGGTGAAAGAGGCGTTCTCATAACTAGAGTCAAGGGCGTAGGAACCGGGGGGGCGGGCGGGACGTGTCCCCTCCAATATTGGACAAACGCACATTTGTCCCTCCCCAATAACATGGAGAAGAAAAAAGTGATTTTGAAATATTTGACTCACGAGCTTTTATTTTGAAACACACCGCAGACTTCTCACAGACACAGCCCCTCCCCTCAGGGAGTTAGACAGGCTGGCTGAGTGAAGCGGGAGTCGGACGACAGCAGCTCGGCGAGTTCACTCTAGTCTAGAGTGACGTCACATTTGAAGGGTCAAAAGCAGCCTGAGCAGGGGATGGGTGGGCGTGGCCACGAACAGCTAAAATGACAGAAATGTCTCATTCTGAGAGGTTTGCTTTATATGACCGGATCCATTATAACTGTAAAAAACAACAATATGCCTTCTTTAATAATAATGCATGGGGTGCTGGACCCTCAGCACACCTCGTCTCCTCAGCTCACCATAACGTATCTCCTCTTGTCTGTCAACCCTCCTCCTCACACCTGTCCCTTTTTGTCCCATCACACACACCTGCAGCAGCCAGAAACAGTCTCTCCTTCACTGTAAAAGTGAAAAACTCATAGATTGTTAAGAAAATTTCAGATAAATCTGCAAATCGGCCCCTTGTTGAACAGCAGGTTGCTTGATTTGTTTTGGCTGTCCTTCTCTGTTTGGAGCTTCCTGTTCTGTCTCGACTTCACCGGCCCTGCTGCCAGCATGCTGCTGGTATTCTTCGTTCCCTCATCCGCGGGGTGCCATGGAGATGACTGCAAACATTTATCCAAAAAGGAAAAAAGTAGTGCTGTAAACTGTGTATTTTTGCACAACCAAGACGTCAACAGCAGAGTGTTATGAAATGATAGACATTTAATTTCACCATCTTTTCAAATCGCATAGCCCAACTTTCAATTGATGTTGTGTTTCTAAACCAGCTGCGTCTGTTTGCATTCTTTTCATTTTAAGCAGGTGGACTGGGCCATTTTGTCATGTCTCCACCAGATATTTATCTAAGATGCAGGAACACAACCTCAGTTGAACCACATTATGCTCTTGTCTTTGTTGAAGTCTGTTTATGCTAGGTCACACACGCCCGTGATACGAGTACCAGGTGGAAATGTTTGCTCGTTGCCAAACTGTCCGTGTGGGCTTTTAAGCAGTTCTTTATTGACAGCAGCACACAGCAGATCTCATAATGATTGTGCAGCCACAGATTTGTACTTACCCACCTGCTTGCTTATTCCTGAGGTCTGTGCCACACAAAGCCATGTGA